TTTTTTTTTCAAAAACAGGCGAAAATTATTGTACGCGCGATGATGTCATCCATAAAAATTACTTGCTGTGGCCTAATTATAACGAACTGACTCCGGGTGGTTCGGAGATATCCGGATAACCATGAATCTTAAATCTGTCAAAGGCCCTTTTCTCACTAGGATAAAACTGACCGGATCGAGCCGAATAGATTCGCTTTGATCCGAATTTAGTCCGGGTCGAAGCTGGATTAAAGTGAATTTACATGTATTCGGCCCGCTCCGGATAATTCTATCCTAATGTGAAGGGTGCAAAGTTTACAACGCCGCGTGGGTGGAACAAACAGACATCGCGGAATGCCGTTGTATGACGCCTTTACATTGCACATTAGAAATATGTACGATTAAACTGATCTAATAGCAGTTTTTATTTGGAACAATAAACACGGCAATGTAATATTTTTCTTGACTCCCACACTCCCTGAACCTGGTGCAAACTATGACCGGTAAACTTTCACCTTATACGCCCTGTACAACAACAAAGTGGTATGAGCCACTATAAATAGACGACAAACTAAATACAGATTCATATCTGATAACCGGGCTCTTCTACAAAGTTGAAGAGTGAGTGTGGTGGCATAAGCTGACTTGGCTTCGCCGACAGCACGACAACATATCTGTGAGTATCTTTCTTTATCCAGCTTTTCCAGTTTCTCTTTCATTGCAAAAATCTTCTATTCCAGAAATTGCCGAAAACCCTAATTTCATCAGATTAGTACATTTTATGGGTGATACGATCAGGACTTCTTATTGTATGTTTTATATAAATACTCTCCAAGCAGAGGTTTGTGAGTTAGATTTTAACCTTTCTTTCACTGCCACAAATACGACTTCTCGCGTCGTCTCAGAGCTCAGAGTGGTATTGTAGACGATGTATCTTTTTTGTTGCACCTGGATATACACTACATGCACTACCCTTCCCCCAACGTTTTCCCAAACACTCGCCAACCAGGTTCAGCTGACGTTTACGTTTGAGAGCACTGGTCAGATTCAGGCTACGTCTACATTTTCATACTAAACGAAATGAATTTTAATGAAAGTCTAATTCGACCCATGAACACGTCATGAACACTGCTGAATATAACTGCTGAATGGTTGGCTGGTGTTCTCTGACTTACAGCCGAACACCAGCCAACCACGGCTGAACCTCCTGACCTCAGAATATTTCAAACATTATCATACATTATTTGAAACATGTGCCTGGTGTACGGCCGAATTTGGCCAAACACCAGCCGACATAGCGCCGACCTACTGCTAACGATGGTTGGGGGCGTTCGGCTTGGGCTCGGTAGGCCAAATTTGTGAATGTGCACGTGTGTGACGGTTTTTTTAGCCGGAGTTATAAGTGTAATGTTTCTCGGTAATGTCACGGAGCATCAGGCAACTTATAATGAAAAAAAAAACAATCATTCACTCCGTTATGATTAAAGTTTTAAACAATACTTATTTTTTTCTACTAACACAATTGCCTGTAACATCATTGCATCATGGAATGCGGAGAAGGGCAGAAAGGGTCACATGAACGACAAAAATATCCAGCACAACAATAGAGCCAATTATGCGGGCAACCATTAATAATAAACCTGTCAACGTTCACAATCGCTGATAATTATCTTCACCCATTCCTTGACCTCGCTGAGGGTCGTGGTGGCACCATGACTCAAAACACTATCCTCCCCCATTTAACTCTGTTTCCCGCCGCTGGCATTGCTTTAACTAAGCTCAGTCCAGTCCACTTTTTTTATATTGTCTTCCCACCTCTTTTTCTCCCTACTACTTTTTCGACTTCCTGGCACTGTCTTTTGTAGTACCGGTTTTGCAAGCCCTTTTTTCTTATTTCGAGGCAACTTGTGATGCGAGCATTACCAGATAGCCATAGGATTGTCGAAGATCTGAAACATTTAAGAGAAAACAGGTAAAACCCATTTGACCTTGCACCGTTCCTGCTTGTGAGATAAGAGACAAAAACACACCAAAACGTCCTGTCCTCAGGCAATTTTACTTCCAGCTCGTTTGGTGCCCAGGTGTCATGGCGCTATTCTAGGCAGACAGACCGCCATGTTAACAAGGCATTCCTAATTTGCATACTGACTACAAGGAGAATTAATATACTCAAAGTGAGACGATTACATGTATACTAGTAGTGAATCACATATAGTGTTGGGGACATGGAAATACTCACTATCTGTTTTGTGTGTTATTGATACTTTTAAAATGTTTTTAAATTTTTTTTTCATTCAGTGTCAAAAAAATAGGTTGTTTTTAAGGCCGCACGCGACATTTTCTGCCAAGTTTTAGTGAAAAAAAATGAGGATTTGTCGCAATAGAGTGCTGTGGGAAGGTTTGTACGGTACTAGGAGAAGACCACGGATCCCAAGGTCAACCATTGACGCCTGTTGTAAAGAGCCGTATCTTTAAATCTGACCGCAGCGCATTACTGATATCCAGGATGTGCTCAAATGTGCCACCGTCTCAGACAAAAGTGCATGGTAGTACTGAGAGTAAAATTCATGAATAGAGACGATTGAAAGTACATGCATATGTGTACGTTAGAGACATTTTACCACCCTCTGTGGCATTTGTGTTATGAACACGTTTAGAATTTTAAGAGTTTTTTTTATCATACATGTATGATACACACAAAGGTTAAATGATGTGTTATATTTGAGGCAGTGTGCGGTGTTTTCTGACAAGTTTTCGTACAGGATGATGTATATGTTGGAGGGGTTTATTTCATTTTTCGTAGAAGTTCAATATGAAGCAATATTGGTAGCTGGTTACGAATATATCACATTTGACTATTTTCCAACGCCCTTCTCCGTTGATTGAAATGACTGATCGTTGTAAAGCATATAATGGCATACTTTCGAATGTATTTCTTCTGTGGTATCTACTTGTACTTTGTAAAATATTTCTGCATGGTTCAACCAGTTTGTACTGACTTCCTTTCGATTTTATTTCTTTTTGTGGTACGTGTATTTTGTATAAATTTTCTGAATCGCATTCCATAAACATTCGATTGTGGTCTTATACTTGAGTCCAGGGCGACACCACCACCTTCGATACAGAAGAAAAGAGCAGCACACAGAAACTCTACTTTGCTGACAGGATGACAGTCCAATGTACATCAGGGTTTTGGAGTTGGATGGTCCTGATGCTGATTGCAAGGCCTGCTTCTATGACTGCGCAAGGTAAAGCACAAATTTTAAGTTCAAATTTATGTCTTTTATCCAGTCATTATTCAGAAAAAGATTCTAACGTTTTTTTGTTTAAAAAATCCACACTTGTTATAAGCCGTGATGTACCCAACTATTTTTTTTCTTAGCACTAGACAATATTCAGATGTTATGTGACATGACCTTAATATAAGGTTAAATACTGCATATAGTTTTTTTTAGCATTTTATACCTTAGACTTGATGTTAGCCTTTCTTAATTTATTATTATCGTTGTAATTTCTTTCTAGTACATTGTACTTTGTACATCCATGCATTTATCCCCCGGGGATTGAACTTGCAAAAAAGCTTCAATGATGCTACGGCGACGCATAAAAATTAGAACCTATCAGCGTTGCCATTATGGGGCCGTCACATTGCGCGTAACATAAACGACATTTACGGCCGTAGTACGCGCGATGTTCCGTCGAGCATGGCGCGAATTTTCTGGATCGCCGGCGATTTTTTGGAGTCGGCCGAAGCTCGCTGACTCGCGAAACGTGTTCTTAACATCAGCAACTAGTCGCCGGCGATTTTTGTAGCCCGTAGCTCGCCCCTGTGCGGCTGAGAGTCGACCGATATTCGGAAGTACATCCCACGAGTCTCGGCCGTATTTCGTCTTTCAAAATCGGGCGACAGTCGCTGAATACGGTCGACCCATGCGCGAGCTTCACGAAATATTCAGGCGACCCTCTTCCGTACCTCGTCCGACTTGCGCAAAGTTTATAAAATCGTGCGTGCTCCGAGCGAGCTTCGTGCCAGCGTCGGACGAAGGTTCTACGAGCCTCGGCCGAGCTCCTGTGAAGTTATTATTTATTCAGCACCTGTGACATTTATTTGAGATTGCATTGACAGTATACTGTGTAAAGTTTGAAGAAGCAACGTCCCGCTGACAACTGATTGTTAACGTTATATTTACGAGAAAGGATAAAAATAGACAAAATCGTCCTTTTTTTCCTTTTGTTACATTAACATTCGTTAATAAACAAAAGCACTTTAAAAAGATGACGAGGTTTTAACTATATAAGGCCAAATGCCTAGATTTTGACCTCAACTGATTGAACGCACATGAAATCCTTTGCTCTTGTCCTTTTAGGAGGTGTGGCCTTATTTCAGATGGCTGTATAATAAACTGACGTTTACACTTGTTCATTCTGGAATGAGGTGGACTTGTTTCTTAGGGTGCCCACAAGAACGTCAGGTAGTTGAAGGTTATATTTCATGGCTCTTTTTACCTCTGTCTACTTTGATGCCATTGAATGAATGGCTACTAAACTTGTTTACCGGAAGATTCATACTATTTTAGACATACTATTTTAGACAGAAGTATAGAGGCAAAGTTTTAGAACAATATAGCTTTGTTCACGTACACGTGTATAAAAAAGATTTTGATATAATGATAATCATTATGTTGTTGTACATCTTGGTTGAATGGTCTAGAGATCGTGCGAGCATCGATAGATCGTCGACCCTAACTCGAGCGACGTACGCCCGTGTGTCGAGCGAGCTTCGGCCGACTCCCCTTTTGTTAAAAATGTGATCTTTTTATCAACCAGACGGCAGTGTAAATTTGTGGCTCTTGCGGCAGTATTTGAGTTGGATCTTTCACAGATTTCTGTTTATATTTCTATTTTATTCTGCCAGTCCGCTCCATTACTTTACTAAGAAATATTACAACAAGTCAAACATAAAAATTTTACGGCGATTGACAGATACGGCCGAGGCTCGTCGACAATGTGACGGGGGCATAATGACGGTGACAGGCGGTCACAGAAACGTCTGATGTAAAAAAAAGTGCTTGCAATTATCTTTAAAGAACATTCTTCTTCAGTCAACTGGATAGAATAATTACCAGAATAGTTTTTAGTCACCTTAAATTAGATTAAATTATCATGGAAAATACCAGATTTTAACATTTACAGGCGAGACAAATTGTAAGTTGCACCACGCCACATAATTATAGTATTTAATCCGTAAATGGTAAAAGGACTATGTCCATAAAATATAATAACGTGTTTCTGACCATTTCAGGCCGACAATGCCCAACGTTGACGCCCCCAACTTACGGAGCTCTAAGTCCTCCCGGACCACACGCCTACCCAAACGGGGTTACCTTCACCTGTAACCCGGGATACGTGCGGAACGGCTGTGCTGCTGCGGCGTGCCAAGCTGACGGAACGTGGAGTAATCCTGTTCCAACATGCAAAAGTAAGGAGACTTGCAATTTGATATATGCTTCACATATAGCAAGCACATAATTAAGGTCATATTCAGTACAAATAGATCTCCGTAATGAAATGTTATTGAGCATTCCGGTCAGCCAATGTCCAATTGACGGCCCCAGCTAACTGGGCGCTCAGTAACACTCCTACCAGACTGTGGTCACCTTTATCTATAACTGACGGGATACAGTGCTCCTGATAAGTGTCAAGCTGACGGAACATGGAGTATATTTATAATAGTGTGAATCACAGACTACGTATATTGTCCAATGTCGTAGTAGAACATGTTGTCAGAAGTTAGATAACGTCATAATCAACTTTGTTTTTTCACGTATATTAATCCTAATTGTAACTTCAGCGAAATGTACCAGCATAGAAGTTCATCTGAGTTGGTAAATTACATATTATTAACAAAGCAAATGCATAATGTTTACTTTCGCATATGGTCTGCTCTGTTATTTCTTACTCAAACACATTCACATAGTTATATGGTGACAGCAGTCTAAATCATTCCTGCTATAAACTGCAACATTATGTAAACCTGTACAGCAGTTACCATGGTAAGAGACAGTTTGCTTCAGGTCATAGAAGCCAGGTCAGAGGTCAGTGTTTGGAACGGAAGGAGAAATGGAGCAAAAACAACATGTTCCTTTGGTAATGATAAAACTGATCTTCAGCTGGAAACAACTACCGGAATTTTTAACCAAATCGCTCGGTCTTCACCAGCTTTCTGACCAAAGTGCTGTAGACACGTGATTCTTTCCAACGTGTGCACCAAGTTAAAATACCTTTACAAGTTTTCAAACCGATCACTCCTCCAGACAGTTTATCAAGAGGTGGTAGAATTAGGCGAAAATTACGTTATAGGGTAAAACTAATATTCGCGACACTCTACTTGGGGGCGTCAGAAGTGTCAGAAGTAAGGTTCAAAGGTCAACCTAAATTGCAAAGATAGCCTCAAAACTGATTGGAAATGATCGTGATTCGGCAAACTTCTGCAACTTCACCCTGATACTAGTCATAGCTCCATATGACTACAGACAAAATAATCAAAACACTATCAAGGTATATATGAAATATGCTTAATATTTTAATACACACTTTATTATTACATACTTAGGAACCAGCACTAATCCTAGACCCTATACCACATCCCATGTGACGACAACCGCTGTATTCGTTACAAATATTACACCTGGAGTATGTGCCATACCTTGCACAACAACGACATTTGGGGATACGACCACGGTTACACCCGGCACAACAACGATATTTGGGGATACGACCACGGTTACACCCGGCACAATAACGACATTTGAAGATACGACCACGGTTACACCCGACACAACAACGACATTTGAAGATACGACCACGTTTACACCCGGCACAACAACTACATTTGAAGATACGACCACGTTTACACCCGGTACAACAACGTCATTTGAAGATACCACCACGTTTACACCCGACACAACAACTACATTTGAAGATACGACCACGGTTACACCCGGCACAACAACGACATTTAAAGATACGACCACGGTTACACCCGGCACAACAACGACATTTGAAGATACGACCACGGTTACAACCGGCACAACAACGACATTGGAAGATACGACCACGGTTACACCCGGCACAACAACGACGATCGAAAATACCACCACGGCTTTACTGGGTACAACAACGTCATTTGAAGATACCACCACGTTTACACCCGACACAACAACTACATTTGAAGATACGACCACGGTTACACCCGGCACAACAACGACATTTGAAGATACGACCACGGTTACACCCGGCACAACAACGACATTTGAAGATACGACCACGTTTACACCCGGCACAACAACGACATTTGAAGATACGACCACGTTTACACCCGGCACAACAACGACATTTGAAGATACGACCACGTTTACACCCGGCACAACAACGACATTGGAAGATACGACCACGTTTACACCCGGCACAACAACGACATTGGAAGATACCACCACGTTTACACCCGACACAACAACGACATTTGAAGATACGACCACGGTTACACCCGGCACAACAACGACATTTGAAGATACGACCACGGTTACACCCGGCACAACAACGACATTTGAAGATACGACCACGTTTACACCCGGCACAACAACGACATTTGAAGATACGACCACGTTTACACCCGGCACAACAACGACATTTGAAGATACGACCACGTTTACACCCGGCACAACAACGACATTTGAAGATACGACCACGTTTACACCCGGCACAACAACGACATTTGAAGATACGACCACGTTTACACCCGGCACAACAACGACATTTGAAGATACGACCACGTTTACACCCGGCACAACAACGACATTTGAAGATACGACCACGTTTACACCCGGCACAACAACGACATTTGAAGATACGACCACGTTTACACCCGGCACAACAACGACATTTGAAGATACGACCACGTTTACACCCGGCACAACAACGACATTTGAAGATACGACCACGTTTACACCCGGCACAACAACGACATTTGAAGATACGACCACGTTTACACCCGGCACAACAACGACATTTGAAGATACGACCACGTTTACACCCGGCACAACAACGACATTTGAAGATACGACCACGTTTACACCCGGCACAACAACTACATTTGAAGATACGACCACGTTTACACCCGGCACAACAACTACATTTGAAGATACCACCACGTTTACACCCGACACAACAACGACATTTGAAGATACGACCACGGTTACACCCGGCACAACAACGACATTTGAAGATACGACCACGTTTACACCCGGCACAACAACGACATTTGAAGATACGACCACGTTTACACCCGGCACAACAACTACATTTGAAGATACGACCACGTTTACACCCGGCACAACAACGACATTGGAAGATACCACCACGTTTACACCCGACACAACAACGACATTTGAAGATACGACCACGGTTACACCCGGCACAACAACGACATTTAAAGATACGACCACGGTTACACCCGGCACAACAACGACATTTGAAGATACGACCACGGTTACACCCGGCACAACAACGACATTTGAAGATACGACCACGGTTACACCCGGCACAACAACGACATTGGAAGATACGACCACGGTTACACCCGGCACAACAACGACATTTGAAGATACGACCACGGTTACACCCGGCACAACAACGACATTTGAAGATACGACCACGGTTACACCCGGCACAACAACGACATTTGAAGATACGACCACGTTTACACCCGGCACAACAACGACATTGGAAGATACCACCACGGCTTCATTGGGTACAACAACGTCATTTGAAGATACCACCACGTTTACACCCGACACAACAACGACATTTGAAGATACGACCACGGTTACACTCGGCACTACAACGGCGATGGAAGATACGACCACGGTTATCCCCGGCACAACAACGACATTGAAGATACGACCACGTTACACCCGGCACAACAACGGTATTTGAAGATACGACCACGGTTACACTCGGCACAACAACGACATTTGAAGATACGACCACGTTTACAACAGGCACAACAACGACATTGGAAGATACGACCACGTTTACACCCGGCACAACAACGGTATTTGAAGATGCGACCACGGTTACACTCGGCACAAGAACGACATTTGAAGATACGACCACGTTTACAACAGGCACAACAACGACATTGGAAGATACGACCACTGTTACACCCGACACAACAACGACATTGGAAGATACGACCACGGTTACACTCGACACAACAACTATATTTGAAGATACGACCACTTTAACACCCGGCACAACAACGTCATTCGAAGGTACGACCACGGTTACACCCGGCACAACAACGGTATTTGAAGATACGACCACGGTTATACTCGACATAACAACTACATTTGAAGATACGACCAAATTAACACCCGGCACAACAACGACATTCGAAGATACGACCACGGTTACATCCGGCACGACGACATTTGAAGATACGACCACGGTTACACCCGGCACAACAACGACATTTGAAGATACGACCACGGTTACACCCGGCACAACAACGACATTGGAAGATACGACCACGGTTACACCCGGCACAACAACGACATTGGAAGATACGACCACGGTTACACCCGGCACAACAACGACATTGGAAGATACGACCACGGTTACACCCGGCACAACAACGACATTGGAAGATACGACCACGGTTACACCCGGCACAACAACGACATTGGAAGATACGACCACAATAACACCCGGCACTACAACGGCAATGGAAGATACGACCACGGTTACACCCGGCACAACAACGACATTGGAAGATACGACCACGGTTACACCCGGCACATTAACGACATTTGAAGATACGACCACCGTTACACCCGGCAAAACGACATTGGAAGATACGACCACGGTTACACCCGGCACAACAACGACATTCGAAGATTCGACCACGGTTACACCCGGCACAACAACGACATTGGAAGATACGACCACGGTTACAACGGGCACAACAACGACATTGGAAGATACGACCACGGTTACACCCGGCACAACAACGACGATCGAAAATACCACCACGGCTTTACCCGGTACAACAACGTCATTTGAAGATACCACCACGGTTACACCCGGCACAACAACGACATTTGAAGATACGACCACGGTTACACCCGGCACAACAACGACATTTGAAGATACGACCACGGTTACACCCGGCACAACAACGACATTTGAAGATACCTCCACGACTTTACCGGGTACAACAACGACATTCGAAGATACAAGCACAACAACATATGGAGTGGGAACCACGTCTGGAGAACCAACCACGGCTACACCAGGTATTGTTCAATTTCAGCATTTATATATCGTTCTTTCTTTAAATTACTTGTCGAGTAAACTGTAAACGTATTCGACGTAAAATATCTGTCCCTAAAACGCGCGTATCAAGTTATTTGAAAGCTAGTTTTTCCGCACCACGCATTTTACAGATATTTAGTAGATATTAAAAACGCATAGTAGACATCAAAAAGTGTAAGAACATACCTGTGCATGTGTGTGCTTTCTGTATTAAAAAATATATAGAGAGAGAGATATAAAGATTCATTATTCAGTTTCTGACCGTTTCAGCCGGACCTTGTCCACCCTTGACCTGCCCAATCAACGGTGGGCTCAGTACCTCAACGACCTCCTACCAGACTGTGGTCACCTTCATCTGTTGTAAACCGGGAGACCAACCAAACGGCTCTGGTAATACAACGTGCCAAGCTGACGGAACATGGAGTAATCCTGTTCCAACATGCACACGTAAGTTTTGAATGAAAGCCCATCTGTAGAATCGATAGTTATAGAGTTCAAACAGAAAATTTTTGGTTTCTTCCGTGTGTTGTTTGAACTCTATAACTACGACTTACAGGTTTGTATGATATGCTAATACAGCAAGGTTTTTCGAATTGTAGTATACAGATATTCACCACATAGTAAAGAGAGTATTAGAAAGTACGTCCTAGTATAACTTCTGGCATATATTTTCTGTCTAAAGATTATTCTCCGTGATACAGTTTATTGAACATTTTAGCCAGACCATGCCCAACGTTGACGCCCCCAACTTCCGGAGCTCTAAGTCCTCCCGGACCACACGCCTACCCAAACGGGGTTACCTTCACCTGTAACCCGGGATACGTGCGGAACGGCTGTGCTGCTGCGGCGTGCCAAGCTGACGGAACGTGGAGTAATCCTGTTCCAACATGCAAAAGTAAGGCGATTGACTTGCAATTTGATATATGCTACAAATGTAGTGATGTCGAAATGTATACTTAGTATACAGACATTCACAATATATAGTATAATGAGGGTAGCTGTTTGTGCTTTCTGTATTTAAAACATGACAGACAGGCATATATCAGAAGAAGACATTTTATATAGAGCATCTTTAGTACACAAATAGATCCCCGTAATAAAAAAAAATATCACCATTCCAGTCAGACAATGCCCAACCCTGGTGGCTCCAACTAACGGTGCGGTCAGTGCCACAGCGACTTCCTACCAGACTGTGGTCACCTTTACCTGTAACACGGGATACGTACTGAACGGTGCTACTGCTGCGGCGTGCCAAGCTGACGGAACATGGAGTAAACCTGTTCCAACATGCACACGTAAGACTGTTCGCAAGTTGTTCTATGCTAGAACCGTAGCAAACATTATCCAGTTGTAATATACATATATTCGCCAGATACTATTAGTTTAAAAAATATCATTAGAGGGCTATACTTACTTCACGGTGATTTTTAGTATGAAATGACGTTTGAGCATCTGCAGTAAAGATATAGATCTACATAATAATCTATTAGGTCTTTGAACATTTAATTTTAATTTTTAACGTTGACGGCCCCAGCTAAAAATGTAGTTTGAAAATATCGAACAAAAAAGCATTTTAGTCTTAAATTCGACGTAATGATTCTCAATGTATTTTCACTGTATGAAAAACCACGTTTCCAAGAGTTTCCAGTCCCGCACACGCCCGTGAAATTCGCCGTGTCCTGGTCGCGTCCATGGATTTCCGGGCTCCGCATGTACGGCCCCGGATATTTCCTTACACTCCCGGATTCGTGCTCGCCGTGCACGTGCACGGAAATTTACGCCCCGCACACCTGGCGTGTGTTGGGGAGCGGCTAACAATAAGGGGTAATTAGGTACAGCGTGTATTCATGTTTCAGGTGATAATTACTTGAACCAAAGTTGCCAGTACTTTAATCTAAGCAAATTAGATATAGAATGATCAAGGATTGTTAGTACAACATTTGAACCTATGCGTCCTTGGCTTGATTTATCGTGATGTCGTCCATACGACAAAGCACATTTGAGCGTAGGGCGCCCCGACGCTGGGGTTATATAACCTACTCGGTCAAAACATGGAGGTAAAATGACCTAAATCTACACTCCGGTCTAAATCTGAATTTTTTATTTTGGAAATAATAGTTTATCCGTGAGGTTCATTACCATGATGTAATCAAACGTTTGACTAAAGGGGTTTGAACTAACGTGACCTGATCAGTTTGTTATGATTTTAGGTACATGTATGGGTAATAATATGCAAGCTTTACATTGTTACGTAGTTCGGTCGATGTGTATTGTGATGTGTCTGACATGGTGTCCATTTATGTGAATAGCCTTTGTGTAAACAAAGGGAGAACTCACAGCGTCCCCACGCCTGGTAAAATACTGAAATCCAGCAAAACAAGTCAACCCTCATGACATTAATTGTGGATTTTGGATACATTTACAAAGAGTAAGGTTATGTTGGAGTTAAAGTGTGGTTTTATTTCACTCAGTGAGCGACAAGTTGTGTAATTCTAGAACGAATAAAGCCATGTAATCATGACGAATTAGAATTATGAAGATCATTTGTCTGCCTTGAAATAAATACATTCACACAATCAGAAACATCCTATCATCTAAGTGTTCAGACTGCCCCTTAACTTAAAACCTATAATATAATAAAAACAAGATCGTTGTAGAATTGAACGCGATCACGTGATTATATGACTGACGACCAATCCTATCTCGCTCTCGCCGGGACCAGCCAATAAGAGACGCGATGCTTTGTTTTGGTGGGTCGTTTGAATCTTGCTTTGTCACAACGACGGTTTGCTTTTTCAAAACACGTTTGTCTCGGCTTGCAAAGATTACTAGTATGTTCCTGAACTAAAATGGCGTCAAACATTCCGTTCTGTTACTTCGTTTTCGCAACGGAAGAAATGACTCTACTACACGGGCCGACAATTTGCCGACAACACCGCAACGAACCAGGAAACCGACGGGAGGAAGGGTAAGCTAAAACAATGATACTATTATATATATGGCACTATCGTTACATATATCTTAAACATGTTGTTTAAAAACCTTGGCTAAGTTGTGCCTACGGCAGAAATATTTATTTTGGCAGGAAGTGCACACTACTTTTTTTACTGATTAATAACATAGTTTATTATTTCTACTTAGAAGTACATCGATATGGTTTGTATGTTGCTCAGAACATATGTATTTTTTTCAGGCGCGGATTTGGGATACTTTGAGACGATTTGAAGAAACTTTATCGCCAGGCTGTCGGAGAGCTCAGAAAAGAAAGAAAGAAAAGCGACTGCAGTCACACAGAAGAGGGTGAGTCTATTTCATTTCATTTTCATTTATTTCGAAACCTTTTAGCCCCGAAGGGCTATGCAAATCTATGCAAATGTATATCTTTGCATACGAAAGCCGACAAGGCTCTTGACAATTTGAATTGTTTTCATTACCGAGGGAAATGTTGTGTTTGTATTGTTCCCATGATTACAATGAAAAGAAACAAGTAGACGTTGATGCTTGATGAATGGAGCCTTTTCATCTGGACAAAATTGTTGCTGTCTGACGTTAAAAACATTCGTTAAAAATGATAAATGACTTCTCCTCGAAATGTGTCCATACAGACGTCCGCATCTTTGCCAGGCTTGTTTATAAAACGTCTAGTACATGTACACGTAACTTCAAATGAAATTCAGAAATGCCTTCGACTTTTGACTTAGATTTTCGTTTTTCCATGTCCTGCAGGCCAGGCTGGAGGCAAACAGGCAGACTGCACACCCAGGCTCAGATCTAAAGGCGAGGGTGCTGTGTTAAAGCGCCCGGCAGGCTCCGACGACCCAGGCCGGCCCCGCTGCACTCCCGCCCAGGGTGCACCCCGCGCCCAGCACGCCGCTCCGGCCTGACTGCGATCACAACCGACACCAACACCACGCCATCCCGCAGACAGACAGGGGGCAGTTTGTCCTTCCAGGATGAAAACGTTTCGCTATGGTCCCCTGAAGCAAGGGGGGGCATACCTCCTGGCCTAAAATCTACAACTAAGCCTCATTTTGTAGAGGCGACAACGCAAACTTTACGAAACCGACAGCTTGTCTTTAACGACATTGTAAATTGAATACGTGTTCATGTAATTAATTTCTGAGCAAATGATCTTTTTTTGTAATGACGTGATATTGTTTTCTGCCAAGCCTCATTTAACTTCATGTTAGGTCTGCAATTATGTTTTTGCTACACGTACATGTATTTTGAAGAACTTTGTTTGAGGCCATCTTTGTTTATTGAAAATTTAGTCTTTTGACTGTTTGTGTAAGCGCCATTCACTTTCATGATCTGAGGGCTATTTTCCTCTTTTAACCTGATGATGTCAGTATTAGTTACTTTTTGACATTTTTTGCTAAAATGGACTTCTATTTGGATGTGACTGTGATAAGATGTGATGTTAATTTACTTTTTAAAGTTAGAGAAAGCTGTTAATTACTAGTAATTTCTGAGTTTACACCGGGTCCAACGATTTTAAAAGTCTACTCCCTGGAAGGCTAGTTCGGGAAAAAGCTATTGTTTCTATGTTTCGGCTACACATATTTGTAAAGTACCAGGTTACATTATTGTATAGTGTTAGCATAGTGCATAACGTGTATACACTATACATAGAGCGTTATTTTTGTCAATCTGTAAATGGCGATCCTGTTTATACCAATAAAACGATGAATGAAGTATAAACATGTATTACTTTTTTTTATGAATGAAATGTGTTCCTAAAACATCGAAATGTGTCCCGGGAGCGGGGGAAGCGATTTCTCGGGAGCCGGGCAGCGAAGCCCCGGGAGCGGGAAGGGGGGTCCCCGAAGTGGGTGCAGTGGGGTCCCGAGAACGGGAACAGCAGGGCCCCGGGAATGGGAGCAACGGGTCCCGGGAACGGGAGCAACCGGTCCCGAGAGCGGGGCGGGTTTTGGCCGGGGGGGGGGTGTAGTACCGGCATGTCCGACCCGTACGTACACGGCGAATTTCCGCTGCCGTGTGGAGAATAATTAGGTGATAATTGCCGCTAAATTATGCATTTTCCAGCAACGCACGGAGCGGTGCACGGCCATTTCCTGCCGTGTACGGGGATGTACAGGGATCGTGTCCGGGCATATAACACCCAGGACACGACCTGCACACAAAAAGTGGTTCATTTCCGGGAGTGTACAGGACATGTACGGGACTGGACACGTTTCGTGTGCAGGTCGGAAACCCCCGGGTTCTACCGGAAACCTAAAATATCCGGGAAAGTGTGCGGTAATTTCTCACACGGAAACTAGGGATTTTGTGCGGTGTTTACGATGCGTAACTTTCTTCCCACACTAGTGTACATAAAGATCAAATTTTCAACGACCACTGAGGCTTTCATCATGATTACTCGCCAGAGAACCAACTTGCATAAACTTCAAGGATGGTTCTCAATGTAGTCAATAATGTTGAACTTTTAAAAATGACCCAAAAAGGACAAAAGATTACGGCATCTGTAGCAACATCTTTTTAAATGTTGTTAAATACTGAGCTGGTCTCATCTTGCTTTATCTGTTCGTCTGTAGAAATGGATGGATGCGATCCTAACCCGTGCGACCCCAATGCTCAATGTACAGACGTGCCAGCTCCTGGGATCGGTGCGACCTGTACTTGTAACATTGGATATGAAGGGGATGGAAAAATAAATGGGACAAGATGCACAGGTATTGCAACAGCGAAGATGTTTGGTCTATATGTGTTCATATGATGTCAATTGGATCCTGAAAGCCCCAAACAAACACGCTTATTCTCCATTTCTGGCTTTTTTTTTACCCCGTAAAGGAGGCCAGTGACCTCTGGCGGAATCTTGCAAACGGTTTGTGTGTGTGTGTGTGTGTGTGTGTGTGTGTGTGTGTGTGTGTGTGTGTGTGTGTGTGTGTGTTCGAAGCTGTAACCCGCGATCTGCTGGCTGCATTGTCAAGGATTCGTCAGAAGGATGACGACTATTTTTTTTCTCTTATGACTTTCAAAACGGTCCACCTACATGTAAGCTATTTAGGATCCTAAAACATGCATTCCTAAAAACATACTTTTAGTAGAATTTAGACAAACTTGGCATATAGAATTCTTCTATGCATCTCAAGTATGGAAATAATAACACCCTGTGCATGTTACAGCAAAGTTACAATCAAGTAAAATTTGAATCGTTCCTCTTGCTCCACAGTGAAAGTCAGAGTCACCCGGACTGACGTGGCCGCTGCGTCTGCTGGAGGTGCCGTGATCATGGTGCTCCTGATCGTGACCGTTTTTCGTAGCGTGGATTCAGAGAGAAGGAATCGTGATACATATTATAACATCGAGGCGT